GTATGGATACTAAGCTGTATGCCGTCAGGTTGATTTTGTTGTATGGATACTAAGCTGTATGCCGTCAGGTTAATTTTGTTGTATGGATACCAAGCTGTATGCCGGCAGGTTATCAACAATAACCTGAAGAGAAACCCAAGTAGCTCTGCAAAACTTCAAGTAAGACAACCAAGATCTCACTCAAGATTAAAACATCTTTATATACAGTACTTTTTAATAACCAATTAAGTCTCGAATGTTATAATGTCCTTAAATCTAGGAAGTGGTTGGGTGTAATTTTGTGAAAGACAAGATTACTTTAACAAAGTTATTTTTGATCATGTTCCAGAAACTAATGAGAAAAAGTATTTGTAATTTTGGAAAAGTTCTTAAAATTATCTATTTCAATCCTTAATTTTGAACTACTGACCAGAGGGGAGGCAACCAGTCAGAAGCACCCTACCATCCACACTGAGGGATTTTCTATTATTCTTATAACACACCCACAACTTAAAGTAAGGGAAATATTTTGTGGTACTGCACAGATTGGAGCCCAGGTACAAAATCAATAGTTCTACCATCCGGCAGACCTTACACAATGATGTTTTTATTTTGTTTTTCGTTGTTAAATGTAGAGCTACACAAAGGACTCTTAGCATTTTAAGCTTTCAAACGTACTACTAAGCCACTGGTGGCTCTCCCATGATGTTAAGAAAATTTGATTATTTTTGTTTTACCATACAGTGGACAATGTATTATCAAACCAGATGTACTTCCACACAGTCCCCGAAAGTGTTTTGTTTCAAGAGTAAATAAAACCAAAATTAAAAGAAACAAGTATTTTTATTTCTTGCTTTTTTGAAGTTCATATGTCATGATATGTTGTAGCCTACAGAGTGCATAATTCTTCTTGTGATTTATGGCATGCGCATGTTTTACTGATGTCATGACAATTCACATTGCAACGTGAAGCATCCCTTACATGACATCATTTTTGTGTCTACTGACTGACTGACAAACAACATACTACTGTACAGTGGTGCAAGAGGTTAAAACAGGTGACTCCTCCAGGCATGCTGCGGCTCCCTGTCGGGAAGTTAATTAATTTAACCAGATGCATGTAGCCACAAATGCAATTAAGATGTATTTTTAAATTAATAACTAGAATTAAATAAGTTGAAATGTAATGACAATGATAGTCATTTACAGGTTGTTTACAAATGTTTGTTTGTTTGTTTGTGATTAAGCACAAAGCTACACAACGGGCTATCTGTGCTCTGCCCACCACAGGTATTGAAACCTGGTTTCTAGCGATGTTTATGAACTTACATACCCATACTTGATGTGGGGGGCCACGATTAGAAAACTTGACACATATAAAACACGGAAAAGGTTTGACAGCACAATCAGGATTGCCAATCACATTAGAAAAGATTGCAATATTAATTCTAAGATGAGAAATACAGCCCATAATGAAGAACACGTGATAACATAACAAGGTTCAGCTGTTTCGTGATCATTACAATTGAAATGTTTCTTCTCTGTACACTGCCATAACATTTAATACAGGTTTACAGGAATGACTATTTAATACTAGATCATGTTTAGTATTCAACAAATGAACTAAGGAAAAGATTAGCTTGCATATTTCTACAAATATATTAGCATGTTTTATCAAAGTTGCACACCTCCTTAACATCCTACTTTAGTACATGATTTACAGCTTGATGAGATACGTTAACCTGTAAGATGTCAAAACTTACCCGTAAGTGCAAATTATCTGCCCAAGTTTCCAAATCAAAATAGTAGGAGAAATTACCAAGAAGTTTTTGTCCACGATTCACAGCTTTCTGGTACTCATCAACCTGAATCTGTATGTTAGACAAATTTGAGGAAAATTATATCTCATAAAGACTCTAGTGTATACAGTTTTCCAGATGTTTTGAATTAAACTTAAGATATGACAGAAAATGTCAGATTAGTATTAACCTGCAAATAGTGGGTCGGAAAATATAAGGTTAATATTAACCTGCCAATATTGGGTCAGAAAATATCAGGTTAATATTTCCTTGCAAATAGTGGTTCAGAAAATATCAGGTTAATATTCACTTGTAAATAGTTGGTCAGAAAATATCAGGTTAATATTAACCTGCAAATAGTGGGTCAGAAAATATCAGGTTAATATTAACCTGCCAATATTGGGTCGGGAATATCAGGTTAATATTAACCTGCAAATATTGGGTCGGGAATATCAGGTTAATATT